ATCCCAGGACCCTGAGATCATGACCTGAGCTGAAGGCAGAGGCTTAACCCACTGAGCCACCCAGGCAGCCTGAGGAAGACTAATCTGAAAAGCACTTCCCAGATCTGTGATCTGTTATGCACAGATTATCTCCTCTGCTGCTGAGCAAAGGGAACTGGACCGACATTTCAGGTGTAGGACAGGGAGTCAATATAAATGAGCCCTTTCTCAAGGGATGTCGTTACATCGACGATGTAGTAACTGTGGACCAGTCAGTCCACAGGGTTCCTTCCCTTAGGTTTTTCAGATCAGGGCAGATGCCAGTATGTCCAAAATAGCTTTAGGGACATCTAAACTGAAGGGACATCTTCTAACTAAAGATGGGCTGAGTACCTGGCGGGCTTGGGTGTGTGATGTAGCTCCTCCTTCAGCAAGCACACTGTGCGCATAGACAAGGGAAGAAAGGAGGAGACTGGTAGGGCCGGGGAAGCCTATTCAGTATCTCCTATTCATCGTGCCCTGTGCGTCTAGCAAGTCAATGTGGTTCCTGTCCCCCCATGCATTTGCAGCCTGTTGGGGTATGAAAAGTAAATACATGAGTGCCAGTGAGCAAGATACAGTGTGGTATTCATTATCCTGTGATAGAACCAGCATGACCCTAAAATGTATACAGAACCGAGAAATTAGGAGGACTTACAAAAGAATTTGCTTCCCTAATATATTGAAGGCCATTTATATACACATCATTTATTCTTTTTCATCCACAAAATATGAAGGGAAAATGATTGAATCTGCTGCTATTTGAGAAACATCAGAAAATAACACAAATCATGTCTAAAACTGTAATGTAAATTCGTTAAAATTTGTTTTCCTTTCCAGAAGACAGTATATCAGCCTCCCCCCATCCTTTTTTTTTTTTTTTTTTTTTTTTTTTTTTTTTTCTCCTCAGTGCCACAGGATGATGTGTGCTGTCTGTACTATAAAAATATTAAGGAAGAAGCTTCCTTGATCCCATGTCAGAGCAGGGTACACAGGGTGTTCTGTAATAGAACTCTGGAAGGTCAGACTCAACCCTGAGACCAGCTGAATTCAGAATTCTTCTCTCCCTCCTTTTCTTCCTGCCCCCTGCTGGAAGTTTTCCTTGGAGCTGGAGCAGGAGACAAAGGAGGCCGGGTCCAGCCACCGTCAGCAGAAAGGCTCAGCAGGACTGAGTTTGGGTTGTGGTTGGAATTGCAACAAGACTTCACTAACATTTCCATATAAAGTTAACATTTTATTTAAAAAGTCGGTACAGTTTATGCGAATTAATTCTAACACATATTTATTATGAATGAAACATTCCTTCTTTCTCTAGGTTTCACTGAATCGATACTGTTTTATTTGGGCTGTTCTCTTAAGTTATGTTGATTATCAAAATTGGAGAATGGATTTTCAGCTCTCTATGTGTGAACATAAAAATAATTCACATGTTCCAAACAGAATAATCATGAAATAGAAATAATATATAAATCTCCTATCACCTGTTTCTAGAATTATAATTACTTTAAAAGGTATCCTTCAGATTATTCTATATGGATACACATATTTTATTTAAAGGTCATCATATTTAATACTATTTTGCAATCTGCTTTTTTATTTAATGGACCTGAACATATTTTTACCTTAAATAAACGTAGGTGTATAAAATCATTTATAAATGGACGCATCCTCTTCTTGGGTGATTTAGCTCTGCCACGCTTTAGTCGATCATTTCCCAGTCATTAGTCCATTTCTAGCTGTTACAATAACTTTACATCCTTCTTTACTCACTTGTCTGATACCTTCTGAGCATAAATATCTAGGCACAGACTTCTGAGGTCATTTTTAAAGCTTTGACTCCCCAGTGCTAAAGGATTCTCCAGAAAGGCTGTGAGTTGAGGGCACCTGCTTCCCTGCGTAGGACCATTGCTGTACTGTTCTGAGTACCAATTTTACTAAACACCCAGCCTTCCAGCCACAAATCGCTTCATTAAAAAAAATTCCTATTATTCTCACATATCTTCAAATGAATTGATAACATTTTGGAAGTTCTATAAATAATTCCTTTGGGGTTTTCTTTATGCTCCCATTAAAATCACAGATTAACTACTAAAACTTGGGCTCTTCAGTGAGAATTTTGAGTCTTATTATCCAGGAACATAATGTACATTTATGTAGCTCTCCTTTTATATCTCTCAATAAGAAATTTTTGTTTTTGTCATGTAGCTAGTGCACCCACATCTGTTTCTGCTCATTACTCACTTTTAGAGCTATGGACTTAACCCTGTTTACAACTTTGACTGCATCCCCTAAAGTTTACATGTGCAGTATTTGTGTTCTCATTTTCAAAGTGCTCTGGTCACAGTTTGATTTCCTCTCTTACTCGAGAGTATAGAGTTTTTTTGTTTGTTTTGTTTTGTTCTTTAGTTTCAGCTTTGCTCTGTGTTTCTTATCCTTTGGTGTTCATTTGCTTAATTTTGTTGTCACCTGAGAAGAATAATTATTTTTTAAAGTTCTGGTCTGTTTGATGGAAGGTCTCATTCATGTGGAATCAGGAGTGGGAGATTTCCCTTATTCCCTAGATAAGTCCTGTTGTTTTCAAATACTGGATTCTTCCATATGGCTGGTGTTTTTTCTTGTTCCTGTTTACTGGGAGAAGTCTATATTCAGTATTCACAGTTGTAGTTGCTGTGAATATGTCATAGATTTTGTGAGGATTTGTCCAAATCTTTTATTCTGGACATGGTAGGAGAAGGAAGTTCTGTGTTTTCCTTCCTGCCTGAATTGGAACACAATTGCCTGTTGGGGAAGTGGCTTCCAAAGGGTGTAAATATTGGTGTATGTGTTAAGAGCCTGCTTGCTGTATCCACTGAGGCAGTTTGAGGTTCTCTTGTAGGGCACAGCCTGCCGCTGATGGGCACCCACCGCAGTGCCCCCAGACCTCTTTCCTCCTTCCAAGCTGTGTGGCCCAGTGACAGTGTGAGTGGCTACTCGGGTGACACTACCAGTGCTGACCACTCCCTCTGTGTCCCTGAGTGCGATTTTCCCATGCCGCCCCTTACCTCCACCACCTTGACGCTGAGCGTGAGGTGTTTGGGCTTACTGGCATCTGCCCTACCACCTACTTCCCAGATGGGCTCTTTCTTGTAATGAGTTAAATTGTGACCTTCACTGAGGTCTTGTTTCTGTCATAGTTTATAGACCTCTTCATTTAGAATTGGGAGTATATTTCGTTTTCCTAGCACAAGTGTGGAATGTTCCCCTCTCACACAGCATTGGTCATCTGTAGGTGGGATCGGAGGGAGAGGAATTTGATGCCGTGTGACACCACACTTTCCTCCTCACTACCCAGTCAGCCATTCCTCCTAGCAGGTGGTTATGGGGTGCTTCTGGGGCCCAGCCCACTTCTGAAAATCCCCTCCCTCGGATCCAAGCCACAGGTGGAAGATAGACATTGTGATCTTACCATTTCCTCACGTTTAATATCATTGTTTTTAGTTACCCATCTTTAGTGGAATGTGTAGCAGGAAGGATAATCTCAGGCGTTCTCCTCCTTCCCCAGATTTCAAACTTACCCTGTCACAAAATAGTGAACCTATTCAGCGACCTCCTTGGCTCTGTTTTTTGCATCATGGTGGAGGGAGAGGAAAAATCACAGAGGATGGACATAAGGGTCTTTAACTGGGAGTAAGGAGGCGTGGTGGTGGTGATTTCTTACTTAGAACCTGGATTGGAAAGGGACAAGATGGGTGGGAAGATCTTTGAGAGCAAAGAGGATACCCTGTATCTGTCTGGTGGGAAGACGAGATACCATATGGTCAATAAAAGCCCTCCCTCCGGTCTCCACTATGGACCGGGTGAAGCCACCTTTCTTTTCATGGATAATAGAAAACTTCAGACATTTATGTCATTTTAAAGTGACCATTCTCAGTGTATTTGTGAATGTGGACACTTACTTAATTTTAGGGTTTTGGTGCATATTTGTCTTGTGTTTGCCCCTTTTGACTATGGGAGCCTAGCTACTGAGAAATATCTGCAAGAAATATAAATAAAATGTGAATTTATTCTCTTTCTCCTGGTACCTGTTTTTCCCCTTTAGGGGTGGGAAAGAACACAAAATACACTAAGGTAAACTGAAATTTATCCTAAAGATAGGAATTTTTACAATTCTGTGATCAGTTCTATCCTTAGCCTTGCTTTTAAAAGATAAACATATATTTCAGGATTACATGTCTGAAGTTTTATATTATAAATTATATATTATATAAATTATATATATTATGTTATATAAATGTCTTAAGGGATTTAAATTGGGTACATCAAGAAAAAATACTGTATCCTTAATAATGCATGAATTACTAGAACTATATCTTCACTAGTCTTAGAGATTTTAACCAGTTATATTTGGTAATAAAATTTATCTGGCAGTTTTTTTTTTTTTTTTTTTAAAGATTTTATTTTTAATCAGTCTCTACACCCAGTGTGAGGCTCGAACTTAAAACCCTGAGATCAGGAGTCGCAAGCACAACCGACTGAGCCAGCCAGGTACCATCCTCCCCAGCAGATTTTTTTTTTTTAATAGATTCTTCCTTTTAAAATAAAGACCGTGGCTAACTATGAACTTTTTAAAAAAAAGTTTAATCCTAAAGTAAGTTTATCTTATTTTATGACATGAATTACTGTTCAAACATCATTGTAAAATTATTTTTCTCGGGTTAAATGAAAAACCGGCTTCTTCAAGGAAAAAAATTACAAAGTTTTGATTTCCCCAGTTACAAAATAAATTAATTTCTGGGCAATCATTTAAAGAACTTTCTGTGACACAAATCTTGACTGACGAATTTTTCTCCATGAATTTTGGTATTTTGGTGCCATCTTGTGGCTTGACTTTGTAGTAACTTCAACATTCCGAAGACCAGCCAAAAAAAAAAAAACAAAAAAAAAAGGTAAGAAACCTAATATATGCTTCTCAGTTTCTAAACATCCTTTGTATTTGTCCCTAGTTGCTGCTCTTCGAACGATCTTGGATGAGCAGATGGAAGTCTTCTGTTCTGCACGAAGGAGAAGGGAACATAAGGAGTGTGAAGTGGAGAGGCCACCTGATTGCTTGGGCCAATAATATGGTAAAATCACATCTTCATCTTCCTGATCCTTCTTCAGAGCCAGAAAAGTGGACACATTGGGAGACCTGTGACAAAGGGAAAGAAGCCACTGGCTGCAGTGGTCTTTTCTAAGACATACAAGTGGCAACTGCTCTCATACCTGGAAGGTTAAAGAGATTAGATTGCTTTCGGCTTTCATAATAGAGTAATTCCCAACATATTCTGGACTTTATCTTGGAGTAAGAAACCCGAGGCATGGAGAATAGCCAAGAAAATGAAAAGGCATCTTAATAATTGAAGGGTTGCATTGGGAATGCGGTATTGAAAATACCATTTGCCTATTAGCCAAGGGCAAGTATGTTGCTGTGGAACAAGTACAGGATATTGCTGATTTCATTTTACTCCCCATATAATCACAGGTGAAAAAGAGGCCTGCCTTTTAAAAAGTAGATTGTAATTTTTGGTGTTGCACTCTATTTAAAGTTTACTCAATAGGAGAAAGGCTGAGTAGAAACTTTAAAAAAATTAATTTTTGACATCTGGCTTATCCTTTAAAATTTCAAGGTATAATTTAGTAAATTTGTCCTATTCAGTTTTAATGGTAGAACTCTCCCAGAACCCACCTTGCTATTCAGGACTTTTCTTAAACTTCTCCCAAGTCACAGTTAAGAGTAAACAAACCTGTGGCCTCTTGGTTTATTTTTAGTTAGCTGCTTGCTTGATGTTTCCATTTCAGTGTTTTAAAATGTCAGTTATAGTTTTCTTCACACATAGTGGTTTGTCAGATTCAAAGCTTTTCTAAAAAAAAAAAAAAAAAAAAAAAAAAAAAAACTCCTTTTTTTTTTTTTTAGTGGAACAATACAATTAGAAATGTTACTTGTCCGTCATTTTGGAAATGCGGTGGTGGATATCTGTCCCATTTCCCATTTGTGTTGTGTTTGAGCCCCTGATGCCATCTATTAATAAAATCTCTTTTGTCCCCAAAGAAGGGTAGAGGTTTTCTTTTGTTGTGGGTCCTCACAGGGTTTGTGTGGAGTGGAGCATTTTCTTTCGCATGGCTCCCAGCGGTGCTCAATAAACACTGTCAATATTTCCTGGTGCTGGTTATTGGTGGTGTGTGCAGGGGCTGTTAATAAGTTTTCCTCTCCTTTCCTTCTCCGAGTAGAGGATACTTAATGCTCTTGTATTTTTCAGGGTGTGAAGATTTTTGACATCACCTCCAAGCAGAGAATCACCAATGTGCCCCGGGATGACATAAGTCTTCGCCCAGATATGTATCCGTGCAGCCTCTGCTGGAAGGACAGCTTGACGCTGATTATTGGCTGGGGGACTTCGGTCAAGGTGGTTTGCTTGCGATGGTTTGCTTGTCTTGATAATAAGTCCATGTTGTTAAAAGATCCACTGAGGAGGGTCCGAAGGAGTATGAGGTCTTGAGTGGCTTTTAGGAAGCAAAATATTTACCCCTGAATATTCACGTTGTGTGATATTTATGCTGAAATCCTTTCATATGCAGAAATTTGGAGATACGGTCTTTCTTTCCCTTTTGTGTGCAAAACACACTGTGAGCTCTTCCTTGCTGCCACCTGTGATCTTTAAATCTCCCCCGCCTGGTCGACCTTAGCTATTTATGGAACTTGTGTGGTTGTTTTCGTCGTTTGTCAGGTTTCCCATTCTTTATTGTTCTCTCCATTCCCCTTAGTTTCTTCATTAGAGTTGATGATCGTGGGAAGAGAGTGTTAAAACTGAATCATCCCACTTGCTTGGTCATAGTTGGATGGAGCAGAGGCCCAGACTTATTATTGATAAGATTAGGGGCTGTTTTGTGGCATGCGGCCTTCTGCTCCTTGTGTGCCTGGGTAAATGAAATTCCGCCATTCTACAAAAGAGGACCCAAAGCTCACTCACATTTATTTTTCGTGTACCAGTGTTTGTCTTGTATTAGGTATTTCAGAACCCAAAGTTGTTGACTTCCCTTTAAAAATATATAGCTTAATCTAAACAAAATAAACCAAAAAATCGCTAAGAGTGGTACAAGACCGTATCCCAGCGACAGTCTGGTGGCACAGCCAGGCTTTAGAGTCAGACAGGTCTGACACGTACTTCCTGTGTGAGCCTAATAAGCCTGACTCTCCTCATCCACAAATGGGAGTATGGATTGTTCTCATGTCCTGAGCTCTGGGGAGAATTGAGTGAAGTAATGCCTACAAAGAGCTTAGCATAATCTGACATGTTGTAAGTGCTTCATAAACCTCAGTTGTCATTATTTTGCCGCAAAATTCTAGAATAGTCTTGAAAGAGACATGGTTATTTAAAATGTACTCTTTTCCGGAAAAGGAACGCTCAAAAATTATTAATGCGGTGCTGCTTACTAACCAAAACTAGCATTGTTAACTTGAGGTAAGGTCCTCCTGGCCCTTAGGTTGCTATGATTTTAGTTCTCCTTTCTTTAATTGTTTTCATGTGTCAAGTGAACATAACCTGATTCATATTTAGGATAGCAGAAGGGAAGGCATGCCCAATAGTCTGGGGTAAAAAAAAAAAAAGTGAAAAGTGATTCTCTAGTCTCCTTATCCCATTTGTGTGGTTACTCATCCAATAAATGGTTCTTGATACTTTCTTAAATTTCCTTAAATGGACCAAGTGGCTTTTTGTTGTTGTTTAAAGTTGTGATTTTCTTTTCTTTTGGTGAAAGACAAGGAAAATTAAGCTTTAGGGACACAGAAGTTTATTGAATGCTACCGGAAATGCCTTCTTTCTTAAGCTGAATAGTGGCCCACAAAGATAGCACATCCTAATCCCACGGCCCATAAATGTTTCTTTATATGGCACAAAATACAATTAATGAAGGATCTTGAGATGGGAAGATTGTCCTGCATTATCTGGGTTGGCCCTAAATGCACTCCCAAGTATTCTTAAAGATGCCACAGGAAAGGGGAAGGCAGCGTGAGCAGAGAGGCCGAGACTGGAGCATCACGCGCAGCTAAGGCTGTGCTGGCAGCCACCGGAAGCCGGAGGTGGCATGTCGCAGACAGATTCTCTAGTACAGCCCTGCCAACACCTTGATTTGGGCCCCGTGAAACTGGTTTTAGACTTCTAGCCTTCAAAAGTTGGAAAGGATAAATCTCCATTATTTTAAACCGCCAAGTTTGTGGTAATCTATTAGAGCAGCTGTGGGAAACTAATATGCTTTCACTGTGCCCATATTATGATCCAACTCATGTGTGAAAATTTTTTCATGTCAAATGTTTCTTTTTATTTATTGGGGATTCCTCTTCTTCGGACTTAGTTAGTAGTACATTGGGTACTTCTTCTCAGTTGAGAATCCCCGTGTTCTGCTGAGGGAAGAGAAGAAAGGACATAATCTTTCCTCTCAGAGAGCAGCCTTACTGGGGAGACAGCCACAGGGTATAGCAGAGTTCATTCATTCATATAGCCGTTCATTCATTCATTCACTCGGCCAGCAACCACTTACCGAGTTCCCGCGGTGTTCCAGTGGGGCAAGACGGACAAGCAAGTGAATATGCCACGTTGATGTAGGTAAATAGCAAGGAGGGTAGTTAAAGAGGGAAATGGGGAAAGGGCCAGGGGTGGGTGCCTGAGAGCGATCAAGGGAAGACATCTGTCATAAGGTACGTGTGCTTTGGCAGAGATCTGGAGGGAGATCTGTGCCAGAGGGATGTTGGCAAGGGTAGCGGCCAGGGCAAGATCCTTGAGGCAGCAGTGTGATTGGCGTGTCTTTGTGGAGTATATAGCCGTTATCACCAGCGCGGATGGAGCAGGTGTGGAAGAGAGAGCTAGAAGTCCTGAGGGGGGAGGAGGAGGGTGGGAGGGGGTGCATTGTGGAGGGGCTCACTGGCCTTGGTGCCAATTTTGGCTTTTTTTTTTTTTTTAAGATTTTATTTATTTATTTGAGAGAGAGACGGTGAGAGAGAGCATATGAGGGGTGAAGGTCAGAGGGAGAAGCAGACTCCCCAACGAGCTGGGAGCCCAAGGCAGGACTCTATCCTGGGACTCCGGGTTCATAACCCAAGCCGAAAGCAGTCACCTAACCAACTGAGCCACCCAGGCGCTCCCCAATTTGAGCTTTTAATTTGAGTGAGGTGGGAAGCCAGCACAGGGGTTTTGAGCAGCAGACTTAAACAATCAAATTTGGATTTTGCATAGAGCCAAACAATGAAGGGTCCATAAAGATGGGAGATAGGGTAGGAGGCTACTGCAGTAACCTCCCTAAAAATCCTGGCATGTTGGTCAGCCTCTTGGAGCTGGTGGGGAATGACTGGATTCTGGGTGTATTTTGAGGGTAGACCCTGTCATATTTATTGATGGTTCAATGTGGGATGTAAGAAGAAGACAGAAGAAAATGGTGACTCTTTTAACCTGAGAAGCTGGGAACCGAAGCTGCTTTTTCCTGACATGGGTAACACTGCTGATTGAATACATTAAGAGAGCAAGTCAGGAGATGTTTTTGTGTGGGTCCACTTGAGATGCCCGTTAGGTCAGTGGAGAAGTGGAGGAGACTGCTGGATGAAACACATTAGCGTTCATGGGTGAGAACCTGCCTATCAGTATAAAGGCTCTTGAGATCATTGATCTGCTCTTAGGGAGGACATGAGCTCAGGGCAGTATTTCACACTTCCCCCACCTGCAGCTGCTGCTGCTCTTCTGAGGCAGGTGTGGGATAGAGCTCAGACCACAGAACTGGGGAGGGGTGGGGGATGGAGAGGAGAGCCCAGCTGCCAGAACTTCCACGCGTCCCAGTCTTCAGAGAGCTTGTCACGGGACCAGAGAAACAGTCCGGCCTCAGCCTGAGTTCCCTTCTCCCAAGTAGCCTTCCTCCTCTGCTGGTAGACACCACTGCTTTGTACTTCTGTACTTGCCCTTCCCACTTGAGTAAAAGGACTTCTTTGTGTGTCTTCCTCACTGCCCCATACTCTTTCTAAGGAAAAAGCTATGTCTGTTTCTCCCAAAGCTCAGGATTGGTGCCCAGTAGTCGCTCAAAGTGCTGCTTAATGTTGTTCATTTACTTTCTGTTACTCTGCTTCAAACCATTTGAGATGCTACTCATGTGCTTTTATCAGCACATTAAGGCAGTTGTCCCTTGGGCACTGTGAGGCATGGCTGATAGACCGGTAGTTTCCCTAGCAGGTGTGGACAGAAGAATCAAAAGTCTAACAAAAGGAGAAGGAAATTGGGGAAGCGGACAGGACACTGTCTGAGATGGACAGGAGACAAAAAACAATAATGGTATGGTAATTGTTGGGTTAATAAAAGTAGCTTCCAAAAAACAACCAAAAAAAGGAGCTTCCAAACAAAAACGATTATTAATGTATTCACTTTGTACTGGGACAGTAGGTAATGTTTGTTTTTTCTCTTTGGGTTTTTCTGTATTTTAGAATTTCCTATATTGTAGCTAAATTTAGGGTAGTAGTATTTATTGTGTTGTTTTATAGTTACCTAAAGAAAAAGGAAAAAACCTGATCCCTGATGAAAGTTGTATAGAATCAGTATTTAACTTCAGATTGTCTTACCTTGATGGCAGAATTTATGTAAATTTTTGTTGTCTTATTAAAAAATAGAATATATTCATTTTAGAAAATATAACAAAGAAAACAAATTATCCATAGTTTTGTCACACTAAAATAACCATGGTTAATACACATGTGTTGTTTGGGGTGTGTGTGTGTGTGTGTGTGTGTGTGTGTGTGTGTGTGTGTGTGTATGTGATAAATGCACACACGTATATATCCAAACTGTATCCATATAACTTAAAAGAGAAGTTGGCAAACTTTTTCTGTAGCAAGTAGTAAATATTTTAGACTTTGTGGGCTATTACTGTTTCTGCTGAATATTTTTCTTTTTCTGTCTTCCTTCCTTTTCTAGTCTTCCAAAATGTAAAAAACTCTTTCTAGTTTACAGGTCATAAAAAGACCAGTCAAGGACAGGCTGTAGTTTGCCTAACCCTGATTTAAAGTATATAATACACTGATTTTAAAACACTTTTTTTTTTAAATTTTAAAACACTTGAGAGAAAAAAGAAAAAAAAAACACTTGAGAGAAGAGCTTGATGCCACTTATGCAAAGTATTACTTAGCAAGAGTGAAATAAATGATGGGTATGTAGTCAGAAAAAAAAGCCCTAATGTGAATGTTGTACAGATTAGCCACTGGGCTTTTGGTTATGTGCTTCCACCAGAGCTTTGTTTGGATGATGACAGAAGTAGTCCCTAAGTAGAGTTGCAGAGAATGGGTCGCTGGATACATGTTAAAACGATATTACAGTTTCCATTCTTTCTTTGTCCTTGAATAAGACTTTATTGAAGAATAATGTTGGAGAACATGAGTAATGGCTGCTATATGTCATTGAAATTAATTTCTATCATTTAAGTCATTGAGTAGATTATGTGCACTCCCTCTCAGTGCTACATGGCTAATTTAACAAAAGTATCATATATTGAATGAAATGTTACGAAGAGTTTTCCATCACCTGAGTAAAATAACCTGTGAATTTATTTTCTAGATCTGCTCAGTGAAGGAGCGGCATGCCAGTGAAATGAGGGACTTGCCAAGTCGCTATGTTGAAATAGGTAAGCCTTCTAGGAGTGAAGAACGTCCAAAGAGAATCCATTTTAGTAAAGGGAAACCCAAAATCATGTTTGTCTTCAGGGCTCATCACTTGGGACCTGAGTGAAGCAGGTCAAGAACTTTTAAGTTTTGAAACTTTGCTGTAGAGTCCCTCTTTTCTAACTGTATTTCCAATTTTTACATGGTATTTTTGTAGCTGGCTTTGAAGGTACGTAACTGTGGGTTCGGGTTCTGTTGTTTCCTGCCTGCACTTAGGACAATTGCTCCATGCACTCTCATCTAGAAAAGATGAGGTGGAACATCTTTCCCACAGGTTGTGGTTGGGAGTTCAGAACATTTGTGCACGCGCAGCTCATCACACGGAGCTGACACCTGGTTCTGTCCACGTGTACCCTCTGAATACGAATTTTCATCATCACTGGTCTGGGCCCAACTGCTGTAATCTTTTCTGTGGATCCCTGCAGCAGCCTCCTGACTGGGTTGTCTCCTGCCACTGTGAATTACAGTGATCTGGTCTCCCCACTGCAGTCAGCATACAAACCAGATCATGTCCCCACCCTTCAGCCTGTTCCCGTTGTTTGTGGCACGGAAAGGAGACTCTTGGCGTGAGCACAGGGGTCTGTGCTGGCCCTCCCCAGCCTCCACAGTGTTGGCCGAGACAAGGCTTCTCCTTGGTGTCTGCACTGCAGCCACACTGGCCACCTTTCACCCAGCCATGCTCCCTCTTCGGGTCTCTGTAGAAGGCCCTTCTCGCCTCTTGGCACTTCCTTGACCCTTAATCATTCCTCAGCTCAAGTATTGCTTGAGAAAGCTCACTGGGAGAGCCCACGGGACCTTGACAATGAGGTCAGACCGTCCCCTGTGAAGCATGGGTGTGATTGTGCAGTTGTTCAGGGCAGGTCGGTCCCTTCCCCCACACTGTAAGCTCCCCGAGAGCTCGCTCTGGGTCTGTTCTTGCTCACTGTTTGTATCTCTGGGGCGTGGCCCGATGTAGGTTCAAAGTAATACCGAGTATTGAAGGGATCCGTGACTCAGGGAAACACCTATTCGGGAGAAGGATGCCAAAGATGAGCTACCACTACTTTTTACATCTTGGTCTTATAACTTAGTGTAAAAGTGATTCAGACAGAAAGGATGAGAGGAGAATGACTTTTGCCAATTAAACAGATATAGTATAAGCTGTTTGGGGACTGTTTAGAACAAAGCAGTAGGAGACAAAGTTGTGTGACAGAGAAGTTTTTGCCACATAAGTCAGCTGAGACGTTCATTTACCTATTTGGATGATGGGTGGGGAATATCACTTTGAGGGGTTCTTGTAACAAGGCGAAGCGAAATCATTTGCACATGACTGTGATTCTAAAACCAGAATGGTGTGTATTACTCCCGTGGCTCATGGTCAGAGCATTTCAGTCTGGGGTATTTTGTACTTGAAGACGGAAGTGGATGGTAGGGTTTTAATAATTTTTTGCCTTAGAAAGAGAAATAAGTACATAGTTGGGATTGCTCAGAGTATGGACAGAACAGGCCTATGTAGGATATAATGGTTTGAGAAGAACTGAGGAACAAGACTAGAGAAGACTGGAAACTACCAGGTCACGATCATTACTTCAGTGTCTATCTTCTTTTCTGCCTCCCAGCAAAATCCTCTGAACACCTCCCGGCATAGTGTTCTGATAGAGAAGTATTCCAATCTCTTAAATACAGATGAGCGGGGGAAAAAATTTTTAAACTCTGGGAGTTTTTAAGGATGGAAGACTTACCAGGAAGACATAAAAGTGTCGCAAGTGTCCCCTCCTTAGCTGATGTTGATTGCTCACACACGAGGCATGGGCCATTCCCCTGTGTGCTTTAACGAGCATTGGTTCACTTTACCCTCATCACAGCCCCCGTGACCGTGGGGGCTCAGGGATATAAATACCCTGTGTCAGATCTTACTACAGTGGCGTTAGAAATGGACAGGATCTAACTGCAGAACCACCACCAGCTTCTAGAGACACAAGGCAGTTTGCCAAATTCCTGTATGACCTTGATGAACTTGCTTCACTTTCCTGAGTCAGGCTTTCCCCACCTATAAAGTGGAGGTGGTAGTATCTACCTTTGCAGTCGGTTGGGAGAATGAAACTGAAATAACACCTTTATCACAGTGCTTGGCATACAGTAGGCATTCACTAAATCATGGTAGTGATTATCACTGTGCAGACTTCCAGTCCAGTTCTGTGACTGCTAATAGCTGGCCCAGTGGTGGCCCCAGAGCCCTGGGATCACGTTATTAAAGTATAGTTCATATGTCCTACAATTTATGTGAAATAGACCATGTGTGGGTGCTGGCAATATCACATTACTGGCGTTTTACTACTATGGTTAGTGGTTAAGTACCATTTTTCCCCCCCTTGAGAGCAAACCTTTAAGAATATAAACTATTTCCACAGCGGGAGGCAAAGTGGTTTAGATAAGAGTCCTTGACGAGGATAGAGGGAAAGAGAAATATTAGGAGGTCTGGATTACAATTTGCTTTAGCCCTGAACAGTGTGAGCCACTGTTCTTTAGTAAATGAGGTAAAAATGGCATTGAGGTTAAAGAACTGTTGGTGGCTGTACGTTTCTTAGAAGCCAGATGTTTATAACTCTTACTTATAAGTCAGAATCTCGAGAAAAACACAAGAGCTTTCGCTCTCCATAGGATATTAGTTGATTCTTATAAATGAAAAATAATAACGATAATAAGGATTAAGCTTACGGGGCAGTCACCAACCCATGAAGACATTCTCTGTACATAAGGTTTTTTGGATGGCATTTCTTTTTCCAAACTACATCGTTAAAAGTAGGTTATGGTTCTAAGCCTGGCATACTTATTGAACTTGGGTCTCTTGCGTTATTACAGGACTCCCTCCCTCTTTGGCCAAAGTCTTTCACCCAAGGAGTCCAAAGACTTTCACCAAAGTCTTCCAAGGGCTTCATGGGGCAGTTAGTGTGGAGAAATGAAGCCAGTGTTTGTGGGTCATTTTCTGGGTATCTCCTCCGAGGGATAGAGGACTTACATGCAAGGAATTCATGAACGACTTCCCGGTCTTGATTTCATTTGGAAGCTTATTTAAAAAAAAACTAATAAAGGGAAAAAACTATATGGGAATCTATTTAAAATGGCAGAAGCCAGGAAGAGAGAATGGGCGGAGGGGGAAGGGACATCTTTTTCTCTTTAATTAAGCAGTGTTCATATCTTCAGTTGATTATATGCTGTGGCTCTTAGAATTTAGCACATTGTTCTATTTTTAGCCTCTTGATTGATTGGGAAAACAGTGACCTGGAAATGAGACATCTGTGTAGTGGTGGAGGCGAGCTGTGAGGTGAATGTCTTTCCTGGATCTAAGCGTGTCTCACCATCCACCTGTTGGGCTGTGCTGACCCAGTCATGCAGCTTCCAGCAGGAGACAGTTGTCCTGCCCCGAGTCATGTGGCTCATCCCCTAGCCTGAGGCTCAGCAGGAATTGGGACCTTGCTGGCATCCTTCACGGTGTTTTTGCTTAAGGATCTAGCTTTGAATGGTGTTCTGTTATAATTCAGTTTGACTCTATTATCTCTTAGTTCTTCTGTTAAGCATTAAATTTTTTCCCTGACATTTTATTATGAAAAAATGAAAACATACAGACAGGTGAAGAATCTTCACAAAAATAGTGAGCACCCACATACTCAGCCCTAGGTCCTGCAATGAAGATTTTATCGTACTTGCTTTATGACATTTCTGTTCCTCTAGCCACTCCTCCCACTCAGTATGGGAGACTCAAATGTTTGTTGTTGTGTGTTAAATTCATAAATTTTCTCAGTAACAAGTATTGGCAAGAGATCTGAAACACCTGATGTAACAAATATGTTTTGCTCCTTTTATGAAAACGACCACCAAGCACATGCCAAGTACAATTTCATTTGATCTTCACAGTGATCCAGATGAGTAGGGGACTGTCATCCCATTTTATCCCATTCTTCTATCTGAAGAAGCTGCGGTTCAGAAGCGTCGGGTAACCTGCTCAAGATCATTCCATTCGTAAGCAAAGAAGGCAGCATTTGAACTCAGGATAGGCCGAGTTTCAAAGGTGTTGCTCTCAACCCCTGTCCTATGTTCTTCCATGCGTTCCTCTCTCTGAACCTGCCCTCCATTATAGCCAGAGGAACTGATGAGAAGGATAGAGGCTTACTCTGGGCATTCAGATAAAAACCATAGGGTAGAAATTGTCTAGAATCCAAACACCCATTTTAATATGACAGCAATCCTATCTGCTCACCTTTTCTTCAGATAGCCAGATGAAATGGAGTTGTTTTTTCTTTATTTTGGTTCAGCAAAGTATCTCATTTAGAGTAGAGACTTTAGTTCCCCCTGTTTTATTCTAGGGCTGATAGCCCTTCCTTGTTCTTCCTCCAAATTGCTAGGAATATCTAGACTATAGTTGCCTTGGGTGGCTAACAAAATGGTTTCTAAGGAAAGAGAACTAAGTCCAGATTATGATGTGATTCTTTCAATTGTCTGAAAAAGAAGAAACGCTCTCGTTTGCTATTTTTTAGTGCTTGTAGTTGACGCATCAAGGTAGTTTTGGGGGTGTTTTTGGTCTCCGAAATTGTTTTTTAAGTTTTATTTTATTCTGGGAAGAACTCTTAAGTTGAGATCTACCCTCTTAAATTTGTAAGTGTACAATACATTATTGTTGACTGTGGGCAAACTGTCGTACGGCAGATCGCTAGATCTCATTCATCTTACCTACCTGAGACCTTAGGCCCATCGCTCAGCAATTTCCCATTTTCCCCTTCCTTCCACCCTTGGCAACCACCATTCTGCTCTTTGACTCTATGAGTTTGACTTTTCTAAATACGTTAGAAATGGAATCATGCAGTATTTGTCTTTGGCTTGTTTCATTTAGTGTAATGTCCTCGGGGTTCATCCATATTGTTGCATGTTGCGCAGTTTTCCTCCATTTTTAAGACTCAGTAATGTTCCAGTGCCTGCGTCCACATTT